TATTATTATTAAGAATTTAAAATCGTTTCAAAGAGAATGTTTTTTTTATGTTGAGGCTTTAGTTTTCATGTCCTTGACGAGGTTATATATATGTATACGCATAAGAATAAATAAATGAATACACAGAGAAAGAGAGAGAGAGAGAGAGAGAGAGAGAGAGAGAGAGAGAGAGAGAGAGAGAGAGAGAGAGAGAGAGAGAGAGAGAGAGAGAGAGAGTATGTGTGTTCATTTATTTATTCTTATACGTATACATATATATATATAAGAAGAATCAAATTTCATTGCAGATTTGACTGTTAATTTCTGCCTTTCTGACCTCAGTTCCGGACTGCAAGGTTTCAATTACCCAGTTTATTGTATTTTTATAATTGAAAAAATATTCTCACATTCCAAATAGTCATTTCATGGGAAACAGATATTCATGTTTGAAATTCTGAGGCATGGTACTTATTGCATATTCCGGGAGACAAAAAAAAAACAAAAAAACATCATACAAATTGCTTCTAAAATTCAGTGTTTCGAGGAGTTTGAGTAATGTTCTCCCCTTCTGCTTAAGTACTAAACCAGTCTTTTAAGCCATAGTTGTTTTTTTAGTTATCTTCATGGACACTTATTAGGTTGTTAAGGACGTTCCTTCTCCATAAATATTTCGCAAAAGAAGAACTAACTATACACGTATATATATGTATATATATATATATATATATATATATATATATATATATATATATATATGTATATATATATATGTATATATATATATGTATATATATATATATATATATATATATATATATATATATATATATATATATATATATATATATATATATATATATATATATATATATAACACATACACACACACACGCACACTGTAACCCATTTTATTTAATTTTAATTTTAATTTAATTTTATTTATCTATTGTTATATTCTACATAACCTGTGTATCTTTAGTATTGTCACATTTATATATCCCCACACACATACAGAGAGAGAGAGAGAGAGAGAGAGAGAGAGAGAGAGAGAGAGAGAGAGAGAGAGAGAGAGAGAGAGAGAGAGAGAGAGAGAGACAGAGAGAGAGAGCGAGAGCGAGAGCGAGAGCGAGAGAGAGAGAGAGAGAGAGGCAGAGAGACAGAGAGAGAGAGAAATAATTTCAACGAAGCGGCCTGTAGCGCGATACTTGAATTACTCGTAGCAGCAAACGCTAAGGGACCGAGAGGGGGCACATTAGCAAACATTGTTTACAAACTCAGAAAATGTTGTCAAGGAATAATTTTCAGTAAGGATTCTGCCTTAATAAGCTTTAATTATTTTGGAATGCTAGTGGGCACGTCTTAATTGTGAAGAAACGAGAGAGCATGGATTTTGACTCGTAAGTTTAGAAGCTGAACGAATAATGGGAATTATGCTACATACTGCTAAAAAATTGTTATATATACTAAAAAATAAAACAGTCAAAGTAATTATGTTTAACCACGAATTTTACAACAGGAAGAGCTCGTTTGGGCCAATTTTAGCATTTGAGAGTCACCGTAGCGCTACAAACCCCTCCGTCCTTTTAGACGCATAAGCGAGCATCTCTGGCTGAACGCACCCAACGTGGCTGTGAATTTTATTTTATCCTCTCTTCGTAAAATAACATCAATTCATTCTCCGTATAGTATTCACGTACACTACAACTACACTATTTAAATCCATAAGACTCATTTCCGATTGATTTTATTCAATTATAATACATAATTGTATACGTAAAAAAAAAATAATAGTTGTAAACTCGTGCCCCCCCCCCCCCCCCCCGCCCGATGGCAACTCCTGAGAGCCATTGGCGCGAAACACACGGATGGTCTCCACTCTGCATCGCCTCCTCCACAAAAACCCATTTTTCGGCCCGAGTAACGTTTCCCCGTCGTCCATAATCACGCAGGGGAGAGAAATGGCCACGCAGAAGCTGATAGCCAACTTTTTCAAGCCGGTCAACAAGCGTGTGAGCGGAGAGACACAGGTGAGCAGAAGGCGTGTGTAGAGACAGGGAACAAGACCGAATAAAAACAATAGGAAACAGTAAATATTTTGTAAACAGTAAATAAACTTTTTTCACAAACTTTAACCTGAGCGGCTTTCGAAGTGAGTCATGTCTGTTTGGTAATTATTTCGACCGTGTTATTTTCTACTCTAATATAAAACAACAACATGATTATGCATATGTAGGCCTAAAAACAATAACATTGGATAATGACTTGAATAGGAAACTCTTATAAATATTCAGTCAAAATAAACATTAGTTAAGTTAGCTATATTGCTAGCGAGGGCAATACGCTCTATTTTGCGATTAGATTTGTGAAGTTTTGTTGGTTTTTGCCAGAGTGCTGAGACGTCCAGTGAGGTATTAAGTAGCATATACGTTATCATCATCATTATGAAAATGACATCACAGTGATGATGATGGTGATATCACATTAATAATGACGCTCATAATGGTGATGATCTTCATGAAGATAACATCACAATAATGATGATGCCATTGTCATCATCATCATCATCATCATCATCATCATCATGCCATTGTCATCATCATCATCATCATGCCATTGTCATCATCATCATCATCATCATGCCATTGTCATCATCATCATGTCATTGTCATCATCATCATGTCATTGTCATCATCAATCAGTCATCATCATCATCATCATCATCATCATCATCATCATCATCATCATCATCATCATCAATCAGTCATTGTCATTAATCAGTCATTGTCATCATCATCATCATGTCATTGTCATCATCACCATCATGTCATTGTCATCATCAATCAGTCATCATCATCATCATCATCATCATCATCATCATCATCATCAATCAGTCATTGTCATTAATCAGTCATTGTCATCATCATCATCATATCATTGTCATCATCACCATCATGTCATTGTCATCATCATCATCATAAGTCAACGCCATCATCATCAATCATCATTATCATCAGCATTAATTTGATATCATCATCATCACTTTTTGTCTTATATTTGCATCGTTGCTAACTTTATTAAATCTGCCTTTTTATACCTTTACTACCTACCTGCATACCTACCTGCATACCTACCTGCATACCTACCTGCATGCCTACCTGCATGCCTACCTGCATGCCTACCTGCATGCCTACCTGCATGCCTACCTGCATGCCTACCTGCATGCCTACCTGCATGCCTACCTGCATGCCTACCTGCATACCTACCTGCATGCCTACCTGCATGCCTACCTGCATGCCTACCTGCATGCCTACCTGCATGCCTACCTGCATGCCTACCTGCATGCCTACCTGCATGCCTACCTGCATGCCTACCTGCATGCCTACCTGCATACCTACCTACCTATCTATCTACCTGCATACCTACCTACCTACCTATCTACCTGCATACATACCTACCTACCTACCTGCATACATACCTACCTACCTACCTGCATACCTACCTACCTACATACCCGCATACCTACCTTCCTGCATACCTACCAACCTACCTGCATACCTACCTACCTACCTACCTACCTACTTGCATACCTACCTGCATACCTACCTACCTATCTATCTACCTGCATACCTACCTACCTACCTGCATACCTACCTACCTACATACCTGCATACCTACCTACCTACATACCTGCATACCTACCTTCCTGCATACCTACCTACCTACCTGCATACCTACCTACCTACCTGCATACCTACCTACCTACATACCTACCTACCTACCTACATACCTACCTACCTACCTACCTACCTACCTACCTGTATACCTACCTACCTACCTACCTGCATACCTACCCACCTGCATACCTACCTACCTGCATACCTACCTACCTGGATACCTACCTACCTACCTACCTGGATACCTACCTACCTACCTGGATACCTACCTACCTGCATACCTACCTACCTACCTACCTACCTACCTACCTACCTACCTACCTACCTACCTGCATACCTGCATACCTACCTACCTACCTACCTACCTACCTGCATACCTACATACCTACCTACCTGCATACCTACCTACCAACCTGCATAACTACCTACCTACCTGCATAACTACCTACCTACCTGCATAACTACCTACCTACCTGCATAACTACCTGCCTATCTGCATAACTACCTACCTATCTGCATAACTACCTACCTGTCTGCATAACTACCTACCTACCTGCATACCTATCTACCTATCGGCATACCCACCGACCTGCCTGCATACCTACCTACCTATCTGCATACCTACCTACCTATCTGCATACCTATACCTACCTACCTATCTGCATACCTACTACCTATCTGCATACCTACTACCTATCTGCATACCTACCTACCTACCTGCCATACCTACCTACCTACCGCATACCTACCTACCTCCCTGCATACCTACCTACCTACCTGCATACCTACCTACCTCCTGCATACCTACCTAACCTACCTACCTGCATACCTACCTACCTAACCTACCTGCATACCTACTACCTACCTACCTGCCATACCTACTACCTACCTACCTGCATACCTACCTACCTACCTACCTGCATACTACCTACCTACCTCCCTGCATACCTACCTGCATACCTGCATACCTACTGCATACCTACCTACTACCTGCATACCTACCTTCCTGCCTGCATACCTACTGCATACCTACCTACCTGCATACCTACCTTCCTGCCTGCATACCTACCTGCATACCTGCATACCTACATACCTGCATACCTACCTTCCTGCATACCTACCTACCTACCTGCATACCTACCTACCTACCTGCATACCTACCTACCTACTACCTACCTACCTACCTACATACCTACCTACCTAACCTACCTACCTACCTACCTACCTGCATACCTACATACCTACTACCTACCTGCATACCTACCTACCTGCATACCTAACCTACCTGCATACATACCTACCTACCTGCATACCTACTACCTATCTGCATACTACCTACCTACCTGGATACCTACCTACCTACCTGGATACCTACCTGCCTGCATACCTACCTACCTACCTACCTACATACCTACCTACCTACCTACCTACCTACCTACCTACCTTGCATACCTACCTACCTACCTACATACCTACCTGCATACCTACTACCTACCTACCTGCCTGCATACCTACCTACCAACCTGCATAACTACCTACCTACCTACTGCATACCTACCTAACCTACCTGCATACCTACCTGCATACATACCTACCTGCATAACTACCTGCCTATCTGCATAACTACCTACCTATCTGCATAACTACCTACCTGTCTGCATAACTACCTACCTACCTGCATACCTATCTACCTATCGGCATACCCACCGACCTGCCTGCATACCTACCTACCTATCTGCATACCTACCTACCTATCTGCATACCTACCTACCTATCTGCATACCTACCTACCTATCTGCATACCTACCTACCTATCTGCATACCTACCTACCTATCTGCATACCTACCTACCTCCCTGCATACCTACCTACCTCCCTGCATACCTACCTACCTCCCTGCATACCTACCTACCTACCTACCTGCATACCTACCTACCTACCTACCTGCATACCTACCTACCTACCTACCTGCATACCTACCTACCTACCTACCTGCATACCTACCTACCTACCTACCTGCATACCTACCTACCTCCCTGCATACCTACCTGCCTGCCTGCATACCTACCTGCATACCTACCTACCTGCATACCTACCTTCCTGCCTGCATACCTACCTGCATACCTACCTACCTGCATACCTACCTTCCTGCCTGCATACCTACCTGCATACCTACCTACCTGCCTGCATACCTACCTGCATACCTACCTACCTGCCTGCATACCTACCTACCTGCATACCTACCTACCTGTCTGCATAGCTACCTACTTGACTGCATAGCTGCCTACCTACCTGCATACCTACCTGCATACCTACCTGCATACCTACCTACCTACCTACCTACCTACTTGCATACCTACCTACCTACTTGCATACCTACCTACCTACACACCTACCTGCATACCTACTTACCTGCATACTTACCTACCTACATGCATACCTATATAATATATATAATATATATAATATATATGCATGTATATATACATATATTTAAATGTGTATATAATACATAGATATTTATGTAAATAATATATATAGTATATATATATAGAAATATGTATATACATGTAGACATAGGTAGGTATGCAGGTAGGTAGGTAGGTAGGAGATAGGGAGGTAGGTATGCAGGTAGGTAGGTAGGTAGGTATGCAGGTAGATAGGTAGGTAGGTAGGTATGCAGGTAGGTAGGTAGGTAGGTAGGTATGCAGGTAGATAGGTAGGTAGGTAGGTATGCAGGTAGGTAGGTAGGTAGGTATGCAGGTAGATAGGTAGGTAGGTAGGTATGCAGGTAGATAGGTAATTATGCAGGTAGGTAGGTAGGTAGGCATGCAGGTAGATAGGTAGGTATATCTATATATATGTATTATACATACCTACCTACCTGCATACTTACCTCCCTATCTCCTACCAACCTACCTACCTACCTACTTACCTGCCTGCATACCTACCCATGTCTACATGTATATACATATATATATATATATATATATATATATATATATATATATATATATATATGTATATATATATGTGTGTGTGTGTGTGTGTGTGTGTGTGTGTGTGTGTGTGTGTGTGTGTGTGTGTGTGTGTGTGTGTGTGTGTGTGTGTGTGTGTATGTATATATCTATATATATACTATATATGTTATTTACATAAATATATATGTATTATATACACATTTAAATGCATATACAGTAAGTCCCCACCTTAAGAACATAATGGGGACCAAGAGGCTGTTTGTAAGTTGATTTGTTTGTATGTCGAAAGTCGGGTCACCATTACCTTTTTTCCCATTGTTTTAAAGTTTTGTTTACTTTAAGAATACCTGTAAATAAATCCCAATTAGTACAACATACCTTATACAGTACCAGACTCTTGAACTATATTCGTGCCCGGGAAATTTGAAGTTTGCTAGCATCTTTCAAACAATTTTTTTGACTTTAGTACTTAAAAATTTTTGTTTGTATGTATGGAATGTTCATCAGTAGAATGTTCTTAACCCATTGCCGCCGGGGAAAATGAACAAAAATGGGGAAAATTCTGTACTCGTTTTTTATATTTTGTGAAATATCTCTGCCCATAGATGGCTCTGCTAGTCCTGATTTCACCTTTCCTCGAATTGGCGGGAAAAAACGTATTCTTACTAGTACTATACATATTGATGGTGCTATTTTTAACAGCAAATTAGGATAACGTTAAATATTTTCGTAAATCGATGACAAGGGTGAACGGGCGATACAGGCAGTACTCGTAAGTGGCTCATTGGATACTTAATACAAGTGTAGCCATCTATGTGTAAAAACAATCGAACAAGTCGACTCACAGTGGGGATGGCACGTACGTACATTCCATCCCCGGCGGCAATGGGTTAAGTAGGGGAATATCTGTATATGTAAAAATACATGCATATATATTATATATCTATATATATGTATTATACATATGTGTGTGTGTGTGTGTGTGTGTGTGTGTGTGTGTGTGTGTGTGTGTGTGTGTGTGTGTGTGTGTGTGTGTGTGTGTGTGTGTGTGTCTGTCTGTGTGTGACTTCGTATTTCTGTGGAAATACGAAGTCAATACTTGGTTATGAGTAAAGAAACATTCGTTTCTAATGCTAAAATCTCATAATAGTTTTCGCTATTGTTATTCCATCATTCGTGGCGTTTCTCTGTGGAGTCGCATCCCCATTCGAACAGCCGAGCGAGAAAATACACATGTGCAAAACAACTAGCTGGGTGGTTCCAAAGAGGGTGAATATCAAAAGTCTTAGAACTTATGTCTATTCATTCTGATGATGAAATGGGCGCTATACTTTTATTTGTCATTTATGTTTTTGAATTGATAAAATTACTTGGTTTCTTTTCGTCATATCCAAACACTGGTTCAATAACCAGAAAATATGCTATGTTTTCATTTTAGAACTGAACGCAAAACTGTAGTAGGCCTACAATGATTTTTTTCATGTGTGTGTGCTTAGGAACTAAAGTTGCTAAACATTTGATTTAAAATAATTGGTTTTATAGTTAATACACACTTTGAATCAATTCTCGCGCAAAATACCATAAGTACCTGACAGAACATATATATGTAAGAATATGCATATACATAAATAAGTATACTTTTTTTTTTCCATTTTTGTTTGCCGGGAATTCGGTAAATCGAATAATTGGTAGGAGGCTTGTTGATTTTGAAGATATTTTAATATCGATTTATTGTAAAAAAGGAAAATGGTAATAATTGAAGAAAAGAAAGGTCAATACTGGGGCCAGTCATATTTATAAGAAGAATAATTTATCGTTATTCAAAACCTTGTCTAATCCCCGGGACAGAGATGACGTGCTTATGTTTGGTCCCGGTTTCCTGCGTAACACTTTCTATTTCCTTTTAGCATGATCTTGCTATTGGGAGGCTCTTTCTTTTGCTGTTTCCCAAACGTTGACAATATTCGGCCATAAATTTTTCATCGGATTTGAGTTACATGCCGTGTTTGGCGGCGGAAGGACTTCCATGTGGTTTTGGTCATCGAACCACTGCGTAACTGCTCTTGACGTGTGAATTGGGTAGTTATCCTGCACTAATATGGTTGTTTTTGGGAAGGATCAAAGGGTAGCAACGTGCAGATGGGAGAAATATTACTTCTAACATTTTCAAAATATTTGTCTAGACTGAATTTCCTTTCTTTTTTCGGCGAGTTCACAAACACCACGCATGAAAAGCCATCCAACTTAGTATTGGTCACGTGGCTATTCCTCGTCGTTTCATGGTTTGGTCGTCTGTCACATCTAAAAAGGAAATAATAATAGATAATCAGAACATAAAATATAACGGATGGGGCACTATCATGTATAAACAACACTATACACAAATTGGAAAAAAACTAATGATATTTACACCTGTTATTTCTCATCTAGCAATGGAGCTTCCCTTGCGCTCTCCACACACTGCTGAGCAAACTGGAGGCGGTGGTGGCAATGTCATTAGTTCAGCCTCTCTCTGGTAACGTTATGTGGTGAATCCCATCTGCATGTAATCGTTTTCTTCGCCGTGTAGCTTGTTAGCAGGAGCTATAGGTCTTTATATGATTTTAGCTGCATTGGTGAAAGGGGGGGGGGGAGGGCATCCAGAATGAGGGCGGGCATTCAGGGTGCCCTTCTCCCAATTAATTCACCTGTAAGCCACACCGGGTAATAACTTTTTTTTTTTGTAAACATATTAAGATCTATCAATGCTTTGACATGCTCTAACAAATACGAGGGAAGTATAAAGAGCACACGTGCCAGAAACAATTGAGCGCGATATTAAAGTCCCATGTTATCAGAATGATCAGGATTTATCAACAAGATATCAGATATAATACAGCACACGTATTGAGAGTAAGTGTTTAGACTGGTATTTCATCCTCATTGGAACTGCTCAGCTAGTAGTTGCTCCAGGTGAAACAAGCAAACGTGTGTTTTTTTCGCTCTGCTGATCGGATGCGACTTCACAGAGAAACGCCACGACTTACGAAATAATGATAGCGAAAATTATGGTCAACTGCGCGCGCGCGCACACACACACACACACACACACACACACACACACACACACACACACACACACACACACACACACACACACTCACTCACTCACTCACTCACTCACTCACTCACTCACTCACACACATAAATATATATATATATATATATACACACACACACATACATACATACATATATACATATATGTACTAATATACATATATACACATACACATATGCACACACATACACACATACACACACATACACACACACACATACACATACACACACACACACACACATACACACACACACACACACATACACACACACACACACACACACACACACACACACACACACACACACACACACACACACACACACACACACACACACACACACACACATATATATACACACACACATATATATACATACACATACATATATATACACATATATAAATAAATATATATATATATATATATATATATATATATATATATATTATATATATATATTATATAGTTATATATATAACTATATGTATATATATGTGTATATATATATCTATAGATATATATTATATATATATTATATATATTATGTAATGGTATATGTATTATATAATTATATATGATATATATACATATATATTATATTTACATATGTTATATATTTATATGTGTATTTATATATGAGTATATTATGTACATATTATGTATACCATATATACACATATATTATATATATTTATATATACATATACACATACACATACACACGTTTATAAGATATGTATATTATATATATTATATACATAAATACACATATGTATGTATATATATTTAAATATATTATATACATATACATGTATAGATACATATATAAATGTATATGTATGTATTATATAATTATACATATTTATAAATGTATATGATATATGTATGTGTATATATAATATATTTAAAATATATAATTATAAAATACATACATATAGTTGTGTAATACATATATAAAACTATATATGTATGTATTGTATGATATTATACATATATGATATACATATATTATGTATATATGTTTATGTATATATATTATGCATATATGTATATGTATATATATTATGTATATATGTATATGTATATATGTATATGTATATATGTATATGTATATATATTATGTATATATGTATATGTATATATATTATGTATATATGTATATGTATATATATTATGTATTTATGTATATGTATTATGTATATATGTATATGTATATGTATTATGTATATATGTATATGTTTATGTATTATGTATATATGTATATGTTTATATATTATGTATATATGTATATGTATATATATTATGTATATATGTATATGTATATATATTATGTATATATTATATGTATATATATTATGTATATATATATATATGTATATGTTTATGTATTATGTATATATGTATATGTTTATATATTATGTATATATGTATATGTATATATATTATGTATATATGTATATATATATATTATGTATATATATATGTATATATATTATGTTTATATATATATATATATATATATATATATATATATATATATATATATATATATGTATACATGTATATGTGTATATATATTATATATACGTATGTGTATATATGTGTAAATTGTGTATACCTATTTATATGTATTTCTATTTATTTGTATATAGATGTATATATATATGGATATATATGTATATATATGTATGTATGTACATGTACATGTACATGTACATGTACATGTACATGTATATGTATATATATATATATATGTATATATATATATATATGTATATATATATATATATATATATATATATATATATATATATATATATATATATATATATATATATATATATATATATATAAAATGTATGTATGTATTATATAATGTTTGTTCTATGAATAAAGCTGTGAGAACTCTTGAAAAAGGAAAATAGTACCTTAAATTCTGTATTTTTATTATTTGGTTTATTTATGTCTTTATTTATGTTTTTGATTACTTCTAATTATTATTGATTACAATTATTGTTATATATATTTATTATTATTTTTAATTGTTCATCTTTTCTATTATTTTTTTTAGAATATTATAGGTAATTTTAAGAATACCACTGTTTTTCTAACCACTACTTTTATTATCAGTATGGCAGTGAAAATAGTCATTATTACCATTATTTTTTAATGTTAATATTATAATAAGTAAGACCAATGTTTTTTTTTATTATTTATTTATTTTTTATACTTTGTTTTATTTATTTATTTTTTTCTTTACAGGACACACAGGTGGCAAAGAAGCCAAAGATTGTAGAAGGAAAAGAGAATGAAACGGAGAAAGACAATGCCCCAGGTAATTTCCTGTCATGAATTGTCATTGATATAATGGCTGGTGGAATCATTGATTGTGTGTAGAAAATAGAACAGAAGAATTGTAGCCGCATCCATTTACTACCCTCAGGCTCTCCAATAAGATCATCGTCACCGGATTCGAACACCTGCCTCAGTCCAGAGCAGAAAGATCGCATGCAGAAGAACAAGTTAAAGGTGAAGTCATTTATTTAACGTATTAGTTGACGACACTGGAACGTAATATGAGTGTGTAAGCTTTTCATAGTAGTATGTAGAGATTGTGTGTGTTTTTCTGACTAATATAGATGTGACATATTTCCATAGTAGTATATAGAAATGACATAGGTTCTGTCATGGCTCTCAAAGGGATCTGTGCTTTGCCTCAGTGCATGAAGAGAGTGCATTTGTGAACCCTAGGACTTCAAAATCAGCAGGGGCGGCACTGACTCGACCAAGAGCAGGATCAAATGAGGGTGTGATATAGAAGTGATATATACCCATCATGTATACTCCTGTGTTATATTTTTATGTTAATATTGGTATATGATATGATTACCAGGCTGAGATAAAGCAGGCAAGCAGAAAATTTGGTGCGCTCCATGAGAACATAGGAACAAGTTGGTTTTCTGCTTTGAGGGGCGAGTTTTCTAAGCCATATTTTGAAAAGGTGAGTTTTTGTATATATATATTTTTTTAAATTAAGGAAATAAGAATAAATTATTTTGAAAATTTTCAAAGATAATAATTTCCAGATACATATAATGAAATGAATTTGTTTATACTTAAGCACCTGTAGTAGTTAGGATGTAACTTTATAATGTTTCAGCCAATGATTTTGTATTTTGTCTCATGATCTTATCTTTCTCAATGCATTCAGTAGTTTTCATGTAAGTATGATATTGCTTTTGATGATATATTTTGATATAGACACCTCAATCTCAGAAATTGTCAGTTTTTTGTACAATGTGTAAATGAAAAGTATGAACATAATATGAATATAATTCTTTAAGTATTATCAGAAACCATAATTCATATCATTTTGATACTGTCATTAATAATTTCTCTTTCAAAAGTGTTCATTTTGATTTCAATTGTATCGTGTAATTTTTATTTTGTTTTGTTTTGCAAGGGATGTCATTGCTGTGGCTACCTATATATCTATTTCTGCAGATAATGTCCCTGCGGCTGTTATTACACTTTCCAGATATTCTAGATGTTTCATTAGGTATACTCCTTGCTGATAAAACATTAAGAAGTGATTTAGAGATACTTTTTTTGCTATTCTGATTCTATTTCTGTCTGTTTTGCCATCACTTACTGTGCTGAGTAATAGATATATTCATGAATATGTACTGTCTCTCCCCCTTCTATTCTAATTAAGCACTCTAATGCCTTCTTTTTATTTACAATCACTTACAATCTAACATTCATAACTGGTCTATAATGTTATCATAATATTTTGTTGTCTAGCCAAATGAGGTTTATGTTCTTACATCCCCTTTGCTTTCTAGGAAATCTGTGTCTCAGTTTAACAGAAATGTAGAATGAAACTAGTCAGATTCTTTGTATGCTTGTAGTCATAGTTTATGCCAGTCTTAGATAAATCCTTTTTCTTAAGTCAAAATACCTCTGAACACATTGCAGATGTTATTTTGTTTCTCATTTTATATCATGTTAAAAAATCACAGCTGCTGTACCATATGCTTTTCAGTAACCTGCTTGGAGATTTCATCGAAGAAACTTTATTTTTGTCTTCATAGCATTCAAGTGCCCTGTAATAGAAAACTTTCCTGGAGTAACTGATCAAGCTGTTGATCATGTTACTGCTATTTCTTCATCTTTCATTCCTTCCTTATTTATGAGAGCAGTATTGAGGCTGAATCTCTATTCTGTAAATCCATGTTTGTAGTTTCCTGTTATTGTGCAGTTACTTCTTGATAATCATGCTATACGTTTGACTAACTCTGTGTTCAGGTAAGTGAATTCCAGGACTGATCTTGACTCTATACACACAGCTTAGCCTTTTCCTGGATGGCGAGCGCAAGAGGTCAACAATCTTTCCTCCAGCCGAACAGGTGTATTCCTGGACACACCACTGTGAGCTGCGGGAGGTGAAGGTAGTCATCTTAGGCCAGGACCCATACCACGGGCCAAGGCAAGCTCATGGTCTCTGCTTTAGTGTCCAGAAGGGCGTCCCACCACCACCAAGGTAGGAGAGCTTTTTCACAATAGAGTACAGTCTACAAGAAACGACTGCCAATTACAAATGCCCTAGCAATGTCAAAATCAAACTTTTTCACGTCTCTAGGCAAACACGCTTCATTTGAAAGATGAGAAGACATTTTAAGTAAGATTCACTTTTATTTTGATTTCTGAAAATGAAAGTTGAAAGTCCAAATAGATATACAAATTCATTTTAAATTCATGGTAATACCTAAGTGTGATTTATTGCCAGTTTTTTTCATGTTCATGCTAGTAAGTTTAGTATCGATTTGCAGTATGATAAGTGTCTTCAGTAATAGTACTGGCCTCCTTTCCAGTGTGTCTTCCCAATGTCCACACCTGGATATGGACCAACTTTTTGCTTCATGATGTGTGTTAATGTTATTGTATAATTCCCCCCCATTTTCAGTTTGTTGAACATGTACAAAGAGCTTGAATCGGATATCGAAGGCTTTCAGCGACCTTCTCATGGGCACCTAATTGGCTGGGCAAAACAAGGTAAATGAAGAAATATTATTAGAGTATTATTAACGTTATTATCATTGTTAGGTTGATTATTATTATTGTTATTATCATCATTGTTGATGTTCTGATTCTTGTTATTCTTATTTCCATTATCATCCTCATCATTATTGTTATTGTTGTTATCATCATGGTTATTATAATTCATCATCATTATTATTTTTGTTAGTTATGATCATTATTATTATTGGATTATTATTTTTGTTATTACCATTATAATCATTGTTATTGTTGTTATTATCCATCATCAGTCATCATGATCCATCATCAGTTGTCATCTATTATCACCATCATCCATCATCAGTCATCATCCATTGTCAGTCATTATCAATCATTATAACTGATAGTAGTAGTAATACTTTCATATAAATGTTGCATAACTTATAACAATAAGGTGATAAGAAGTTTACATCTTACCTTTGCTTGCACAGTATTACAGAATGAGAGCAAAGCAAACCAATAGAATCAGAAAACATGTTTTTCAGTGTGCTTCAAAACTCGAATTATAAATATGCTCCCAATCTCCAGGTGTTTTGCTTCTCAATGCTTGCCTGACGGTGCGCGCCCACAATGCCAATTCACACAAGGACCAAGGCTGGGAGAAGTTCACAGACTCAGTCATCAAGGCGGTGTCAGATCGCAACAAGGGTGTCGTGTTTCTCCTGTGGGGTTCTTATGCACAGAAAAAAGCAGCTGTTGTAGATAAGGTAAGATATGACAATGTTTTGAAGGATTTTTATTTTTTTTTAATGGGAAGGGTGAGAGGGATAGGGAAAGGAGTGGAAGGGAGAGGGAGAGGGGATAAGAAAGGGAAGGAAGGAAGGACAGTAGGGAGGGAAGGTTGGAGAGGGGAGAGGGAGAGGTGGGAAGGAAAAGAAAAGAAAAAAAGGAGAGAAGAGAGGATTAAAATAAAATGAGAGTGAAGGAAAAAAATGAGAAGATGGGAGCCTGTAGGTATATTTGTATATTTATGTCTATTTTCTCTTTATGAAAATTAACCACCTTATTTCTCTCTTGGTTTTGTACAGAAGAAGCACCACCTCTTGAACACAACCCATCCGTCTCCCCTTTCAGCCCACCGAGGTTTCTTGGGATGCAAACACTTCTCAAAGTGTAATGAAATTCTCAAGAAAGAAGGCAAAAGGCCAATTGACTGGACTTACTTGCCTCTAGAAATGTAGAATTTGTCATTGATTTGTCCTTCTTACAGATTTAAGATTTTAGTTGAGTTTTGCCTGTGGACTATGAGAATATTAGTAATTGTTCTCATAACAGAAATAATTGTTTGTGGTACAAAGTTTACTCAAGTCAAACATTCTGAAGAGTTGATCACTTAGTTACATTTATAAAAATGATTATTTACTACTAGTAAGGGTAATTGTTAAAACTCAATGCAGGAAAGTGACTGCATTTGATATTTACTTTGCAGAGTTGAAATTACAAATTTTAGAAAATTGTATCCTTTTATTTTACAGTATTCAAGGTCTTTGAAATTATGTAATTAATAGGGCATTGTGTAGAGTCAGTTCATGTTGCTCAAGAATTTCTGCCAGTACTTTGCAGGAAAAAACGGTGGCAACAAAATTCCTTATGAAGGTGAATGTGTGTGTCCAGTGCATTTACAATGTTTACCAAAAGGCTTTTATTAAGTTGTACATACTAGGATGTAAGACTGTGTTATTTCTGTTTTTAAGAAAAATGTTTCAGTTAAAGTTAGTTTCATAACTTTTTTTTACTTTTATAATAAAGTTTGCAGCATTGCTTTTTAAAAAAATATTTTCATTGGATCCTGAATATTTCTTTGCCTAAAAGAAAGTGATAAAACCTAAAAAAATATGTATTTTTTTTAATCTTTTAAAAGTATATATTAATATTCTAGACAATTATGTACTCTTTGCTTTTTACTTAGCATGAATTACAAAACATCTATTAAAATGTTTCTCTCAAGGAAGCAAATTTGAATGATTATGAGAAAAATGGCAAAAATATCTCAGGAGTTAAAGTTCCAGACCTCAGGGACTACTTTGTATGCTCTGATTAATGTTTATAAAATGTAATCATAAGGGGATCATGTCTGCACGCTGTTTTTTTTTTTTTACATTTTCTCACTAAGTGGAAATTAGTGTAAATTGTTTGCTTCCCACATTATCTCAGGGGAAAGTTTTTGGATTTGCAGAGCAGACCCTATTGCAGCATCTTTCAAAATGTCAATATTTGTAATTAAGTATAGTGTAATATAGCCACCTGAATGGCAGCAGTATAAAAATTATCATCTACATATGGTAATGACTTCAGATGTTAACCCATTTGTGACAGGTAAAAATGAACAAAAAATGCTCCTATAATCCTGTCCTTTTCCAATGTTTCTCCAGCAACTGCTCTAATGTTAAAATTGCAACAGTGATCCCCTTTCCAAGTGGGAACACACTTTCACTGCCAAATCATTTTTTCATGTTAATTCTGCTATGATTCATTGCATAGAATATGTCTCTACTCATTTAGCAGTTTTTCTGGATTTACCAACTTCTTTTACCACACTACTCCAAACTCCACTACCCTTGCATTTCATCCAAAAGTGTCCTTTCTCCATTTTTTTCATCATTTCTTAAAAAAAAGAAAAAAAAAAGAAAAAAAAATTATCCTTTCACTTTTTTTCATCCTTCCAAGGTTACTGATACCAATATACTGTTCTCATGATAAAAGTAAATTATGAAAAAAAGAAATCTTCTGAATATGATTTTATTAACTAATTTTCATGACAAATAAAGTAAAGTAAAATAAGGTTACTTACTGCCAAATAAATTGTTAGTGAGCAACACCTTCCACAAAATGTACTTCAAAAATGTCATAAGTATTTTTAAGTATAGCTTGGCATGGATTTATCTTCTCAGACTTTCCTAATGCAATAATCCACCAAATAAATGCTTTAAAAATACAACCTGAAGGGAGAAATACCGCTAAAGGCTGCACCCATAACTTGCTTTTAACCCATTAATGCTGGGATAAGAGTACATACAATGTCCATTACATTTTTAAAAAATTGCCTTTACACATAGATGGCTCTACAAGTGCTTAATCACCAAGGAGTCAATTGCAACTATTACCAGTCACACCTGTTTACCCTACTTGATTTTGGGCAAGATTTTAAATGTTTTTATTGCCTTTAGAATTGTTAAGATCTTTATAATAATTGTAATGTCAATGTTGATAATAACAGCTTGGATACTAAAAGCACTGGAATTTCCTTCTTCCCAAAACTTCAAGGAAAGGGGGAATCTGGTGAAGTTATACAGACCTACTGATTGACTCCTTAGTGACTGAGCATTTGTGGAGCCATTTATGTCCAAACAAAATTCACAAAAGAAAACTACAGTCAACAATATGATTACCCAGCAGCAAAGGGTTAATAATGAAAAGCTTCTGGCAATATTTTCTCTACTATGAAAATATATATGAATAAAGGTGGAACAGCTACTGGGAATTAGGAAAACTATTACTGTATAATAATCCTGCCCTTTTTTTCTACAGTAAATGTAGAAAACATTCATATGTTTCTTAAAATATATATAATTTCTAATTATCATAACCACACAAATATAAATAGAAATCACCCTTAAGCTTACGTGGAATGAATGAAAAACAAAGCATCTGTTATAGTGTGTATACTTTGATCACATTTCAAAGAAAATCTTTTGTGGATGTATATTTTTTTTTTTCCATTTTAATAATCATGGTTCTTCCAAAGAAGAAAAAGAGACGGAAGAGGGAAGGAGAGATAAGAATGAGAATACAGTGTAAGTACAAGGCATACTGCTCTTTTCTTAACATACATATACAGCAAATATCACAATGCACAGTCCAATAAATTCAAAGGACAAAAAGGAAAAGAGAGGAAAAAAATAAAAAGAAAAGAAAAAAGATAGGGATGATGAAAATCTTTAAACCTATGTGTGTGCATGTTTGTGTATGTGGGTTTGTTTGATTGTGTATGTATTTGTTTGTTTAACCAGCTACTCAGAAATTACAACAGTGCAGAATAAGATATTCCTTTCTCTCTTTCAAAATGAGGTATGTATAACATAAAAATTGGCAAACTAGCTAGCTGCACTTCCACAATAGCATTCACAGCTACACAAAATGACTTTTAGTGCAATAATTAATATCTTTATTCAACCTAAAGTAACAGCAGGTTCAATATTACTTAATTGCAGAACTCCTCTCACCAATCCCTGGAAAACAAACAAACAAACAAACAAACAAAAAAAAAAAATCACATACTTACACTTCACATACTGGGATACTAAGCATGTTCTGAAGGTGAATATGGTCCAATGTGTTCAGGCAATATTTAGTATATAAAACCATTATTTGTAAGGAGTCTGAGAAAGAATGAATTTGCACATATATGCACCTATATACATACATGTATAATGAAGATGTGTGTGCGTGTGTGTGTGTATGTGGGTATGCTTGTGTGTGTTTTTACCTATATATATTTTTTTGATTTGTATTACATTTACAGCATGAAAAGCTGCTTATCAGCATTTCAGTAACTTTACCTGGTATTGCACACAACATTTAGTTTTAAAAAATAGAGTTCTCGTAACTGTTTCCACAGTTAACCGAGACATATGATCCAAGTGACCTGGACTTTGTTTACGAGTGTATTATGTTCCAATGAACAAAAAACAGAGAGAAAAAATATGGAAAATAGGTTACAGAAAAAGAAATCAAAAGTGGAAGCAGGAGGAGAGAATGAAGAATGCTTAAGAGAAAAATCTGCATAGCAGTTGAAACGACTGCACGTCACTGTGGAGTGTCTAGGTGAGGGCTCAACCTAAGTGTCCTTGGCAGCCAATGACCACTGTCCTTCTGCTTAACAATCCCATGACAGGACGAAGACGTGTAATGGCTAAGGTATAGTCTAAACGAGGCTACAGTAATATGAGCAAATACCTAAAATATAAATACAAACACCAGGGGACAAAGATATTTTATAAGGACAATATTCTCCATGAGTGCTGGAGAGACAATATCCATACATCCTTATCAATGAGAACATCCATTTACAAGTATGAAAAAGAGTGAAAATTTTATGTGAATTACAAAATATATGGCATGCACAGAAACCAAAATTACCTGACAACCACAACAGTAATGACTCTCCTATATAAAATCTAGGTGAGTCAAATTACATTACGTGTGTGTGTGTGTGTGTGTGTGTGTGTGTGTGTGTGTGTGTGTGTGTGTGTGTGTGTGTGTGTGTGTGTGTGTGCTTGTGTGTGTATGCGCGTTTGCTTGCGTGTGTGTGTAAGTGCTTGCGTGTGTGTGTGTGCTTGTGTGTGTGTGTCGTGCGTGCTTGTGTGTGTGTGTGTGCTTGTGTGTGTGTATGTGCTTGTGTGTGTGTGTGTGCTTGTGTGTGTGTGTGCTTGTGTGTGTGTGTGTGCTTGTGTGTGTGTGTGTGCTTGTGTGTGTGCGTGCTTGTGTGCCTGCTTGTGCATGTGCGTGCTTGTGTGTGTTCACTTATGTGTCTGTAATCTTGTTTGTGTTTGTTTTACATAAACACACACAAAGTGGTTTTAAACACCCTAGTTTAGTCACTTAAATCATTACTCAACAGAGCCTATACAATATATAAATGACTGCAACTGAATATCTTACAAACAGGACATGTAAAAGTCTTCTAAGCAATATTCTGCAAGAGAAGGAACACTGCTAATTCTTCCTTGATCCTTAACACTGAGCTGACCATCTGAAAGTTTATCTAAAATGATTCTAACAAAAATATAAGTGGTCATAATAAAAGGACATTCGTAATAATAATGGCAACAATAAATTAAACTGAAATAATAATAATAATCATAAAAATAATAATGATAATAATAATAATAACAACAAAAGATGATCATGAAAGGTAATTAAGATTTTATTTCTCATTAAAAATAATCAAGTTGTTCTAAAGCCATGACCAAGGAATAAAAAAATCCCATCAATACATTGTCTTAATATCTTCACACACAAAAGCTCTCAATATGGTCTTTCAACTTGACATCTTTCCTCTGTACTATAAATCACTTAGTACAATTCCGTCACTTACAACAAGGAATGGGTCACGATCTTTCCTTCTTTTGAAGTCTAACGGGTAATATAAAACAACAGGGTTTGTATTTCCCATGAAGTGTCTGTCCTTTCCCGTCCAGTAAACAAAACCAGTTTAGTCAGGAAAAAATATGAACCTTTTACCTGGATCTACATGATTCATATAAAAATGAAAGAAATATGGAAAAAAAAAAAACATATATGAATGCAATAAAATGCTACCATAATGAAAAAATATACATATGAAAATTTGAATAAATGTACAAATATAATAAAATCACATCATAATAGCAATAAAACAAAAAAGTAAGCATGATAACCTCTAGTTATCCACACTACAGACAGAGAATGAAGACTTCCGTAGCAACACCTTAAAAAGTTAAAATGGACATCATTAAGGTGCTAACTGCCACTCACAAAATGGTATTTATGCTACTGATTTTTTTTTTCTTCTTCCTAAGCTGAGAGTACTTTACAGTATTTTCTGATCGAAAGCTAAATGTATGAATGAAGTAAAAAACTGCCAAGTCTGTCTTGACGGTGAGAGCAATTCAGTTTTCTTACATGTTCATGATATTATGGTACTTGTCCTATAGACTTACCATGCTTTAAATTCCCTTCAAAGTGATGAATTGATGTACTGATAAATGAGTTATGTTGTTGTCTATTCTTAACAAATAAAAAGATGTAGACTCTTACAGACACACATAATGCAAGCACACATGCATGCATGCACACTAAAACACACACAACACACAAACACATACACACACACTATATATATATATATATATATATATATATATATATATATATATATATATATATATATATATATATATATATATATATATATATATATATATATACATCACTTTATTAAAAATCTATCACTCACAATAAAACAACAAAACAAACTAGCACATATTCTCATGAACAATCTAATAGAAAAAAGATCAAAGGAATGTGTGTGTGTGTGTGTGTGTGTGTGTGTGTGTGTGTGTGTGTGTGTGTGTGTGTGTGTGTGTGTGTGTGTGTGTGTGTGTGTGTGTGTGTGTGTGTGTGTGTGTGTGTGTGTGTGTGTGTGTGTGTGTGTGTGTGTGTGTGTGTGTGTGTGTGTGTGTGTGTGTGTGTGTGTGTGTGTGTGTGTGTGTGTGTGTGTGTGTGTGTGTGTGTGTGTGTGTGTGTGTGTGTGTGTGTGTGTGTGTGTGTGTGTGTGTGTGTGTGTGTGTGTGTGTGTGTGTGTGTGTGTGTGTGTGTGTGTGTGTGTGTGTGTGTGTGTGTGTGTGTGTGTGTGTGTGTGTGTGTGTGTGTGTGTGTGTGTGTGTGTGTGTGTGTGTGTGTGTGTGTGTGTGTGTGTGTGTGTGTGTGTGTGTGTGTGTGTGTGTGTGTGTGTGTGTGTGTGTGTGTGTGTGTGTGTGTGTGTGTGTGTGTGTGTGTGTGTGTGTGTGTGTGTGTGTGTGTGTGTGTGTGTGTGTGTGTGTGTGTGTGTGTGTGTGTGTGTGTGTGTGTGTGTGTGTGTGTGTGTGTGTGTGTGTGTGTGTGTGTGTGTGTGTGTGTGTGTGTGTGTGTGTGTGTGTGT